AAAATATTTTAAAAACACTGCTCAGTATTATCACCATGCCAGTTTTCAGATAAACTATAGCTTAGAGAAGTTCAATACCCTGCCAAGATTGCAGAGTTAGCAAATAGCAGAGCCAAGATTTGAACCAGAGAAATCTAGTCCTGTGGTGTTATTGCAGTGTCTGTCGGTGCAGCGAGTCTGGAGCAGCCTGGTATAAAGAGGGAGGTGTCCTTTGCCAGCACCCTGCTGCCTGGGCTGGGGGCAGGGTGGAGAACAAAAGCACATTGAGAGTATCCTCAGCTGACAGCTGGGACTTTCCACCTTAAGGGAGGGTAGTGTTATGGAAAAAATGATAAAGCTCTGGAAAGATGAACGTCTCCCAGGGGCCCCAAGTTTCCTCGGAGCCCCACCCCCCTTGCCACAAACTGTGCCGGCCTGATCCAGGCGAGATGGAGGCCACCTGGATCCTGACACACCCCAGCCGGGCTGCTCGAATATGAGGATCACTGACCTTCGTGGAAAGTTCCAATATCTCAGCCAGGGACACAAAGCTACCACTCAGGGACCCCCAAGGAGTCAGGGTCAGGCTGGGACTCCCTGTCCTTGGATGGTGGGAAATTCATGTCTCATGGGGCAACTCAATCCTTCCTGCATTCAGCGAAGGGAAGGAAAGGAGGGTAGAGAGGGTCATCGCTGGCTGTTTAGAAAGATTATGAATCTCTCAGCTCTGCCATGAGCCTGTGACCTCAGGCCAATAAAAATACACAGAGTGAAGGGGTTAAGGTAGAATCCTCTACGTGATGCTGTCTCGGGAATATTTGAATACTCTAGTTCCACAGCTTGAAAAAATATACAAGTTCGGTCTCAATTTCAGCCGTGCTCCCTTCTGTTCAGTTCAGGGTTCAGTTAAAAATAATACGAAGGATGGAATGGGAGCTCTGGGTTCAGCCGTGTGTGCAGTTTTCCCCAGTCCCATCTGGTTCAAGTTCAAGGCTGGAAGAGAAGGCTGTTCCAGTTACTGTGCTGCCAAACAAACCACCCCGAAGCTCGGTGGCATAAAAACAGTCATTTTATTATACTTACATATTTGGTGAGTCAGGAATCTGGGCAAAATGCGTACAGCTTCTCTCTGGGGGCCTCAGCGGGGCAACTCAGGGACTGGAGTGACTAGAATTATCTCACGGGTCTGGTGTCATCACTCACATGTCTGGAGGTTGATACTGGCAGGAAGTTGGAATGTCACCTACACCTGGCCTGGTGAATTTGTTTCCTATGGCTGCTATAACAAATTACCATAAGCTTGATGGCTTAAAACAGCACAAATTTATCACTTTACAGCTCTGTAGAATAGAAGTCCGACATGGGTCTCGCTGAGCTAAAATCAAGGTGTCCACGAGGTGGAATTTCTTTCTGGGGGCTCCAGGGAAGAATCTATATCCTTGCTTTTCCGCTGCTGGAGGCCATCCACTTTCCTTGGCTCATGACCTCTTCCTCCATCTTCAAAGCCAACAAGGCCGGGACAAGTCTGCCTCATGCTGCCATTTCCCTGGTTCTCCCTCTCTTGCCTCCTCCTTCTACCCTTGAGATTACACTGAGCTCACCCGAATGATTCAGGATGACCTCCCTATTTTAAAAGTCAGAGAGCAACCAAAGGACTGGTGTGCATGCATATTAGCACAACCAATGGACACAGACCCTGGGGCGGTGGGGAGTTGTCTGGGGTGGGAATGGCTGGGAGGGGTTGGGGGTTAATTGGGGGAAAAGGAGACATATGTAAAACTTTAGGCAATAAGAAAAAAAATAGTCCAAAAAAAAAGTCAGTGTATTAGCAACCTTCGTTCCATTTCTGACCTTAATCCGCCTTTGCCAGGGATTCGAGGACATGGACAATTCGAGGAGCTGCTGTTCTGCCCACCATAACAGGAGAGAGTGAGGGATGGAGGAAGGTCGTGGCCGGTCTTCTCTCTCTGCACATACACAGTCCATCTCGTTTTAATGAATGGAGAGGCCCCGCATTAAAGGGGTAGCGTCCTAGTGGAATGTCAGGAGCTCTGGGATGCTGTTCCCAGGGTCTGGCCTTACTTTCCTTCCCCAAGTCCATGCTTCTCTCCAAGAGCTCCCGCTTCTTCAAGCCTCCAGTGGGCACATCTCCATCTGCCTTTTAGAAACCTACTCCCTACCCACCGACAAAAGTCTCGCCTCCAAGTTATCTCCCTCCCGAGCAGTACATCTTCAGAAATCTGAGGTATTGGGGGTAGATTAAGGCTCCAAGTGGCCCAGCAGGACAATCAAGGGTGTTCTTAGTTCTCCCCGGCTTACAGGACAGTCCAGAGTGTGACACTCCAAATCCAGGTCCCTTCAAGGTTTGCCCACCTGTGTGAATGAGGTTGGTGACCATTTTACAGGGCCAGTTGCCTAGAAAGTAATTGTTGAATATTACACACAAAGGCACTAACTCAAATGCCCATTGTATCAGAAAGGTGATATAAATCAGCGGAGTAGACTGGGTGAAGGACAATCAGGAGGAAAAGAGTC